TTGAACTTAATTCTTCCCTGTTATTGGTTCCTTATGTCCATTTCCAGGCCCTCTCGTCTCCTACCCACTCCCCCTCCCCCTCAAAAAAGTAGTCAAAGTTGTAAATGAGTATCAATAACTTAAGGAAAAGGTTAAAAGACTGTTGTACAGAGATGAAGATTAGCAAACCAGAGTAGGATTTCTTATAGGAAAACTTTAAAAACGCAAACACTGGAAAATAAGGAAATGCAGCATGATGTTTTACCAAACAACTTTAACTCTGCCCTTGTTCGCCATCAACTTGAAACAAGTTTTGTAATACTGTCCTGACAGCTGCACAGCATGCTTCTTCAGATTTAGCTCCTGTGATTTCAGGACATATTATAAACTGCTTATATGCTTATTGCTGGAAGACCTCCTAACCGGTGATCTCTTACAACTAACTGATATTGCCCACCATGCTTCTGTGCATGCTGTCTTTGTACAGCCAGTCAGTTAACTCCTATAGTTGCTCACATCTTAAGCCCCATTTTCCTGGCCAAACTGTACATCTTGGCTTTGTCTACGTGGCTGGGGGAGCTCGATCTAAGTTACGCAACTTCAGCTATGTAAATAACATAGCTGAAGTCGATGTACTTAGAACTACTTACTGTGGGGTACACGCTATGCAATGTCGACTGGAGATGCTCTCCCGTCAACCCCCCTTGTGCTTCTCGTTCAGGTAGAGCACAGGAGTCGACGGGAGAGCAATCTGCGGTTGATTTGGCGGGTCTTCACTAGACCTGCTAAATCGACCGCCGATGGATCAATCGCCGCACATTGATCCCCTGGTAACTGTAGACAAGGCATTATACTCCTTCTGTCTGTAAGTAAATGAGTTTGAGACTGAGCCACCAAGGCTGGCATGATTTAAGATGTGGTACTCTGACACTTATCTATGACACATGTCTGTTAGGAAAGTTCATGCTGGCAGAGGACAGAGGCAGAGTTAAGATTGTTTGGAATACCATAAGTCTGTGTATTTTCGTACTTCTCGACACTGTTGCTCTTAAGTTTTCCCTTATATTACAATTCATTAGTTTGCTACTCTTTATGCTAATCTTCATAGTACTTGTTTTTCTTCATAGTATTAAGGTCACAAATATGAATCAACTCTAGCTTCACAAAGTTTTTTGCATGTGAATTTACACTTGGCTTTTGACAAAGTTGGCAGGGAAATGAACTGGTGTCCCAGCCACACAGAACAGTTTATTCTTTTTCAAGCAGAAAAATTAGAAGAATACCTCCTGAACTGACATTCCTGGTTTGCTGGATGACCCTGTGACTTATCACCTCTAAGTTCCCCAAAACACGCCAGCCTATTACTAGCTTGGCTTCGGTCCTTGCTGCATGTGGTGTGGGGGCTGGATGGCTTTGCAGGGACCCCTTTGCCTAACAGGCAGAGAGGGGAGAAGGTATCCAGTAGCTTAGTTGGGCTCCTTTTTGACTCAGGAGAACCAATTTGCTCATTAGCAGGGAGGGGGATGTCTCCTTATTGCCTCCCCCTGACTGCTGCTGTCCCTTGTCCCCTATCCTTAGATGTCTCTCTGCAGAGCAGCCTCCCACTGGTGCATTCACAGGGCCAGCTGCCCCCCAAAAACAACATCCTGGACTATCTGGAGTCTGAGATCCAGAACCTCAACCTATCCCAGCCCCTGCTACCCTCCCACCACTTTGGGGCCAACCAGCATCCCAGCGTGCTCTCCTCCCTGAGCTCGGAGGTTGTGGAGCGCAGGGTAATCCAGCTGCCTCCCATCACTGAGCTCATCCCATCCTCGCAGAGGAGCAGTAACTTATCACACCTGCAGCGAGCTGGCCATGCCGCAGGACCCTGGGGCTCCACAATAGAGGATGAGAGGGAGGACTGGAGAAGACGCCAGCCCTTGGATGGAGATTCTCACTCCAGCTTCGATCGGGAATCCTGGGACAAGGGACGAGACCAGCCGCCTCAGAGGCAGGGGGAGGGCAGCTATGACGGCAGGCACCGGAGTTCCAGGCGGGATGTTTCGCCCATGCGCCGGCCAGACCGCGGTAGGTATGGTGACATCTTCTACCCTCAGGAGGCTAGGGAGCGCTCGGGCCGCCGCTTTGACCCCAGGGAACAGCCTTTGGAGAGGCAAAAGTATCAACGCTCCAATAGAAAGGGCAGCAGTTCGGAGCAGCGGGAGCGCCAGCATCGCAGCTACTCTCCTCCGGCACGGCGAGAGTCGTGGAGCTCGGCAGAAGAGCTTGATCGCTTCCAGGGGAACAATAGGCAACGCCACCGTCGCTCCCCAGGCTGGCCAGAAGACAAGCCGCCCAGTTACCGCTCACTGGAAATCATCCCAGCCAAGGACAGCAGACACAGAAGCAGCGTGGGACAGCAGTCGGTGAGTCAGAGTCCCTAACTGCTCTCTGATGAGAACGGTTAGCCCCTCTGTGTGTGGGAGAATGGGTGTCAAATGCATGCTGGAGTCTGATGCATGTCAAGGCAGGGGTTAGGTGCAAAATGTCCCACACAACTTGGTTGAGGGAGGTGCTGAATTCTCCCACATCGCGTGCTCACACAGCATAGTTATGGTGTGTCAGGGTTGGAGGGGTATCAAATTATTCCCCTGACGCACAGCCTTGGGAAGGGGTGTCTGTCGCCCCAGGGCACAGGGGTGTTTGGTTTTTTTTTTAATTTTGATTAGTTCCATTTTTTAAAAATTTCAATTGGCATGTTACTTCTATAAGTTTCTGCTATTTAAGAAAATTAACAATAATTTTGTAAGGAGCAAAATATACCTTTATAAATACCTGTATCTAATATGGCCAAAACATTCAGACTTGAGCACCTAAAGTTAGGCACCTAAGTCCATATTTAGGTTCCTAGACTAGTGGCCCGATTTTCAGAGGTGCTGAGCAGTTAGTGCCAATTCTACTGCACATACCTGGACTGAGAACTGAACTTGCTTCACATTGAACAGGGATTAGCTGAGAACAATTTTTGGGAGCTATCAACCTGGGGCAGTATTTAAACTGGCAATGCAGGGGCAAAAGGCTTCATATCCAATTCCCAACCTTATCCAGCCCACCCCCTGTATCCCCTGACTTTTTTTTTTTAATACATCCCAATTTTTAGGAGGTGTGGGGAAACAAGTGACCTCCAAGTCCCTCAGATGTAGGATCTTAAAACAGAGGGCTCTTGTCAAAGGGGTCATGCCCCACAGCAATGTGGTATTCCCCTCCTCTCTCCCCTCTCCTGTCAGAGCTACAAAGATAGGTTTCTCTAAGGGAAACCCGGGTCCAGTTCGAACTCTGTTGCTGGTACAAAGGTCCTTGCTGCTTTGCTACAGAGTGGGGTAGGGAGACATGCTTTCTATGTTATCCCCACACTTGTGATTCTCTTTTTTTATTTTTTCCTGCAGGAAAAAGGAAGTTCCCGCAGTGGGAAAAGCATGGTCATTTAACACCATGGTGGAAGGACCGAAACTCCCAGTGGTTCTGCTTTGGGGCTCCCTTTTGCCCTCCCAGTGTGTAATTTGGGACGGCTATTTCTGACTGAACAGGAGACCTGGAACAACTGGATAAAATAAAATGTAGTGGAGACCAGTGATGAATCTGTGCGAAGGGGGCCAGGAGTTCAGTGGCTTTATAACATCTGAAAACCTTCTTATTCCTTCCTTACTCTAGAGACTTTGGTTTCAAACAGACCCTGGTTGTGGAACATGGTCCCTTTGAGAGTAGAGCTTCTGGTGGCACTGAACAATAGTATGTCCTCCCTCTCTGACTTCGAATATCTCCAAATGTTGTGCATGTGGCCCTGAGATTCAGCACCAAACATTAGAGTGTTCACTGTGACTAACAAGTGGTTGTTTCCTTTTGCCTCAGTGAGTTTCTGTCGTACAGCCCTAGATGAAACCATCAAGCAAACAATACTGTGCAGTAAAGGAAGTGTCAGAATGCTACATGCACACGCAGATCTACATGCACTCTCTACAAGAGCGCACAGCAACTTCTGTGCTTGGAAAAACGCCTCAAAATTGCCAATGCTTCCAGTTTATATTGACACATACCTTAATAAGGACATGGAGAGGCTCTGCCTGGCCATTTGACCCAGACTCTAGTGTATTCATGAGTTCAAAGTACTAATCTACAAGGTTCTGTTATCATAGGTTGATGCTGTTTTCGGGGGCTGAGCTATGGGTAACTGCCATCTTGGCAACAGTGGGCCTGATTTTCAAAGTTATCAAGCTCATGTTCGTTTTAAGTCAATGGGAGCTTGGTGATACCCTATCACCTCCAAAAATGATGACCTCTGTAGGTATTTTTTTTAAGGAATCAGCCCTTTCCCGAACATCTCACGTGCTCTGCTTTCCTTCTTGGCCTCTGTCCTCCTGAGGTGCTTATGGGGAAAATGGGCTCTAGAAGACAAATCTTGTCCCTTGCTTTGCTATTGCCCTCCTAACATGCTATTAGGGAGCTGATCTTTACCCTGAACATTGCATTTTTCCTAAACTTGTTGCTCAACAGATCTGTGGTTTGGTTACTATTGGATTAAGGTGCCTGCCTATAAATTACCCTGTAACTAAAAGCAAAGAGAGAATTTCCTTTGGAAACCAATTGCAATAGGCAGAATAGCAGGTCAGTCTGTTTTTTCTTGGCTGTGTTGCAAAGACGAGACAAAAGAATCCTTTTCTCTGGATGTTGAGATAAGAGCCTTCTGATCACCATGGTAAAGCTGCTTTCTAAAGGCACTTTGTGAACTGCTGACAGTAGGGTTCAGCTCTTTGTGTGGAGCTTTGGGAATGGCTTGTATATTATTTTGTAATTCGCAACACCTAAAGGTTGGTCAAGACCTATTCTTACTTCATCCAGTCCATTTCCCAGCTGGCACAGGATTGCTCTCTACAGGACATTTTAAAATTAAAACTGTCAGTGGAGTGCCTGCCATTTCCTTTGGGAAACTAGCTTACAGGAGTGATTTTGAAAATGACCCTTTCTTGCACTCTTGTGGGGAACCTCTCTCTGGAATTCATATAAAGTGCTTTTTCTCCCTCCCTGGGGCTGTGTGTAGGCCAGATAAAAGAACTCCTGGATAGCACTGGTGCAAGTATCAATGGATCAGTGTGGTGTTGCCACACTAGGTGTGTTCTTTGTGTTTGTGGTTTTTCCCTTTGCTCACACTTCGGCAGTACTACAACATCATGGTAGCAGTGCTTTCTCTGGGTGTACTGTCCCACAGTTCCCAGCTCTGCTGCCTGAAGCAGTGGCTGCGAGTGGATTCTGAAAGGCTGTCTGGTAACCTACGGCCACTGTGAAAGGAGTCAAATTCCCACAATTCCCTGGGAACTAGTGCCATTTCTTAGTTCTTCTCTCAAACTGAGGGCGAAGGATGAACATCCAGCTCCCTCTTATTGTTCTATAAGAGGTTTTTTTTTCTGGATTATCCTGAAAGAGTTGGAGACCAATGCCAACAGCTGATGGAACATCTTATGTAATCACCATCATCTTGGCTAGCACAGCAGGGATTGAAACAGGGACTATTAGAGCTAAAAGCTTGAGATCAAGAACCAGGCTGTACTGCAGGAGACTAACAAACTCACCTCTTCTCTGGATTGGGGGATGTATCACTTGTATGGACAACTACGTCACCCGTGCCCCACACCTGGAATAGCTGGCTCCATACAGAACTTGAGGATGATGCTCCCAGGTCTCGTATTGCGTCTGGGTCTGTTCCATGGCTGCACATCTGTGGAATCAAGTTCATCTGGAGACCTGTGAGGGACACGGCAGGGACTGCCTAATTTTATGTTGGAGAAGAATTTTCTGTATTTCCATTGTGAGCCAGCCCTGACATTGCAGCAACCAGAATGTAAGGATGAGGGCTCCATTCCCCATGGAAAAGAGAGACAATTGCTCTGTGGAATCCGGCTCCCTTGGATGGATCTGTGAACATTTTTATTTAAAGATGAGATTTTAATGATATGTTGGTGGTAGTGGTACTTGTGTAATTCTGATGGTTTTAATACATTTCTCTCTGTGTGTGGTTGGCTAATGATTTTGTATTAGTTATGAAGAGTTGGCGGACAACTGAATTGATATTAAAGAATAGCATTGTTGCCCCTTCTTCCCGCATCAGTATCCCATTCTGAGGGTACGTCTACACGTAAACCACTACAGTGGCCCAGCTGGAACACTGCGGCGTTGCCACTGTCTACACTGCGTCAGAAGGGTTCTCTCATTGGCATAGGTAATCCACCTCCCCAACAAGTCTTTTGTCAACCTAGCCCTGTCTACACTGGGGGGTAAGTCAGAACAGCTATGTCGCTCAGGGATATGGATTTTTCACACCCCTGAAAGCTGTAGCTATGCCTTTGTAAGTTCCCCATCTAGACCAGTCCTGGTACTCAGCACTGCCCCTCTGCAGAAGCAGATGTCTGGGGCTGAGCAGGTTGACTTCCCAGGGAGGAAAAATCAATAATATGGATTCTGGATATATTCAGTGTAACTTGCTTGATCTACATGCACCCTAATTCTGAAATGAGATGATCAAACAGCATGCAGGACAATCCCTTCTCTTCTTCCTACTCTCTCAGCCCAGAGCAGTGCCCAGCTCCCAAGGAGCAACTGCACCCCATGAACTGATTCTAATAAGAGCCCAAGGCACATAGTAAACTGCTTTTTGCACAGCTGCTTCTTTCCCCCAAAGCTGCCTCTACACACAATCTTCTGTAACCCCAGCCTAACACAGCATGTCTTCCCAAGAGGCAAAACTTGTTCACATGCTAAGGGCTTTCCTAAACTGAAAAGTTGCATCAGCATAACTACGTCTCTCAGGAGTGTGAAAAATCCACACTCCTGAGAGTCATAGTTAAGATGACCTAAACCTTGCTGTAGACAGCTAGGACAACAAAATTCTTCTGTTTACCTAGCTGTCTACAGCAAGGTTTAGGTCATCTTAACTATGACTCTCAGGAGTGTGGATTTTTCACACTCCTATCTACCTCTCCTAGAGTGAGTAGCTTACCTA